AAAAATGAGGAGAATAGTGAAACTATAAATTTTCAAATGTTCACATGTGATCAAAAATTAATATACAAATTACTGGTTTCAATATGCAATACATTCAATCGTATTTTTTTCCTAGCACATTTCAAAAAGTTTTAGCCGAAATGGGGTAATTTTATTTTTTTCTTTCAAAAAAGTAAAGAATTCCACAATGTCGGAAAAGGTAAAGTGTTTATCGTAGTGTTCAAGTTACAAGTCATGAATGACACTGCCTTCGCTAGTTGTCATTCTAAAGTTGCATGGACATAAATTGGCAAACATGATTTCTATGGCATTTTCAAGTTTATAGCACTCTCCATCCAGGTCAGTATTATTCTCAGCAAGGAAACCAGATAGCACCAAACCAGTACAACAGGTAAAATGACAAGGAAGTATACAAATCAGATCTGTAAATATGTAGAGTCAGTGTTGTGTCTGTTTGGATAAACTAGTTTGTGGCCCTGGATTAGTTTCAATATCTCTAATAAGAACAAGATTACTTCTCATACGACAATGATACAAATAAAGTGCAAAAATTTAGAAGAATATTATCAAGTTTTTATTATCATACATTAATATTAACAAATCGTGTGAAATTTCATGTACAGAGAAAACACATATTTATGCTTTGGTTGACAGAACTTCTCAAAGTAAAAAAAAGAGGACCTGCGAAACTTTATACAATTGTCAGACACGCAGTGAATAGTACTGGTATTTTTTTGTAATACATGTAGTTCCAGTGCCTTTGCTTTCTGAGAAAAAAATCTGGCTCTGCACCTGAAAAAAAAGAACATTTAGTCCAAAGTAAGCAGAGGTTGTACTTGTGAGTACTTGTGCCGAAAATTTCACTTGAGCTGAACCAAATGGATGCCAAGCTACCAAAAGAAATAAAAAAAAAACTATTGAGAAAAATACATTTAATATAAAAGCAGATAGAAGTGCATAAAAAACTAATCAGCAGAGGTAGTGATCATGTAACCTAAGTGTACGTCAAATTTCCTTTGAACTGGATTGCATTGTCTCAGATTGGCTGCTAATTTGCATATTAATTTGCATACTAATTAACATATTGTAGTTGTATTAAAATATTATATAAAATAATATATTAAGTCAAC